AACATGAACGATGGTCCTCCCTGCTTTTTACTCCAGCACTGATTCGAGTCACAAGTAGGCACTGACAACCCAAAGTTGGGGGTGGGCAAGGAGAGACGAGGGTGAGCATCAGCAGCATTCACTTCCTGGATTCCCCAGCTCTGGTAATACACTGGCTCCGACAACCATGCCACCACCCCCGTGGGCTACATTATAAGCCTTTGCAGACAGCTTGTGACCCACAGGCTGCCCTTTGGACAACCCTGATGTAAATTGTTCTGCGATCCATCTTCCTCCCATCATTTATAAACACTCTGCAGACTAAGGTCCTCATTTAGCCACTGATTTGAATCTTGAGTGGCCCACACCCAGGGACCCCTGGAGTTCATCATGTACAATGGTGGGGGATGATCCAGAAGCTGTTTAACAGTGAACAGCAGCACAGTCCTGAGGAAAGGGAGATGGAAAGGTAGATTCCCACTGAAAGTGTCAGGACAAACAAGGACACAGATTGGAATTGGCTGGGGCTGCCCCCATGCTGAGGGTGAAGAGCACCAGGAGATGTCACAGAACCACATGGCCAGGTTTTCTGTCTCACCAAAGAGACTGCAGCTCCAGCACCATGCTGGGATGTTGGTAGCAGGGCTAACCTCCAGAGGGGAACATCTACCCCTGTATTCAACAGCCAGGGTTTCTTGTCACCTCTCCAAGCAGTGCCAGGCAGAGTCCAATTTGATGTGTCAAGCTGTGATCAGTGGGACCTGGGTAAGGCATTGCTAATTCTCTCCTCTAGACCGAGAAGAATGGATGCTTTTCCAAGAAGGTGTCAATGTCTCATTTTAACCTGACTTCCTCTGGATACAAAACGAACCTCCAGGCCACAGCCTCACTAACGGAGGAAGGGACAGGTACGATCAAATACATACTCTGTGGAACACCTACATAGAGATACATGTGTGCATGTACTGACACACACCCAAGTATGTGCGTGATCTTGAACATTTATCAACACATGCCTGCATATGAATGCTCATACACACATGTGCTCATGGCCTCATGTACAGGCACACCCAGCATACAGCATGTAGCAGCGAGGTAGAATGGTCTCTTGCACGCATGAAAGTATAACTTGTAGCTCAGAGACAGGGTTCTGCGAGGGCCCATCATGTTGAAAAACATGCCCAAATGATGTTAGGCTCCTCACCAGCTTCCCTGCTTCAGGCAGCTGCTGCTTCCAGCCAGGATCCGAAAGGGATTTGCCTGCCCAGGGGATAGTCAGGCCCAGGTGCCATCCTCTGGTTTGTTCCACCCAGTAATGGGGTACTAGAACAGGATGCTTGCCCCGTCAGACATGAGCTATAGTCCACGATTGCTATTTTTACTACTACTGCCAAGCAGCTCCATCATTACACTGAAACTAAACTGACCGTGGACGTCTCAGCTTCTAGTTACAATAATGTTCACCAGAGGTTCAACATCTCTGGGTTTGGCTTTGCTCTCAGAGCCTCAAGCAAGGAACCCATCCCTGTGTCCTTGCTCCTGAGAGACTGCCTCCATGCAGGTGGCAGTGGCATCCTACACTGTAGCTGCAGCTGCTTCACAAGGCCCCAAAGTAAATGTACATTTCATCCATGAGATCTCTGGCTTCCAAAGGGGTCCGATAAGTGTTGGGCCAAAAATGTTAGCCATCAGGTGCTGACTTCAGGGAGCAAGTAGCCAAATGGTGGAAGAGAGCAATGTAGAGCGGTAGGGAAATTGAACATCTGACACTGCCTTCTTCAGGAAACAGGGCACCTGGGGCTGAGAGAGCTGGAGGGTGAGGTCTAGGGCTGTTCAGTGAAGAGGACTCAGTGAAGAGGCACTGCAGCCCCATGACAAGGCGCTCTGCTGGGATAGGTCAAATGGCCCCTTGGGATTATATCCCAGGGAAAGGCCTTTAGTTTCCAGTCTCCAGATTCCCAGGGAAAATGCTTCTCTGCCCACATTTAGAACTCTGCAATTCTTTCCCAAATGGAGCCCTCCAATCCAGAGCTAGAGATAGGAACCCAGCTTCTGGGAGAAAAATCTGGGACACAGCCTTCACCCAACTCTGACTCCCAGCCCCTCCTTTACCACCAGGGGTAGAGCGCAATGTGACCAAGAGTTGCAGGATCATCTCTGACATTGCCTCGGTGACCTTTGAGAAAGCTGATGCTTCGTACAAGCCTGGAATCCCCTTTGTTGGCAAGGTAATGGGGTCATCAGCACCCCTCACTGCTCACCCCAAAATATCCTGCCATTATACTTCTATGCCCTCGCATCATAGCCTCTTAGCCCTGTCCCCCTGCAGCAACTCCTACTCCTCCAGTCTTGCCCTTCCTCCATGAATGCACCCTGGAGTCATACATCTCCCTTTCCCTTCTGGCTCAGATGCTCCTGAAGGTGACAGACAGCTCTTCAGTGAAGAATGAGAAGCTTCATCTCTTTGTTACCCATGGGGGAGGGACAGAGAACAAGACATTTGTGACAGATGAATCTGGGAGAGCCTCCTTTGAGCTGGACTCCTCCAGCTGGACTGGGACAGTTACTCTAAGGGTAAGAGATGGGCATCCCAGGGAACCTGTCCTCCATTATCTCAACCCCCTGTTGTCGCTATCCCAGGCTGGCGAGTAAACCACTAGCTGGCTCAGTGGCAAAGCCCAGGAGGTTCTTTGTATCAAAGAAGAGCCCTTGTGAGAGGGGAAATCCATGAGCTGCAGCAGGCACGACGGAAGTGCAGGATTAGAAACGAAGGCTTCTAAAATAAACCATTGCTCAGGTCATGGACTCAAACAAGAGGGTGGCCCTTTGTAGAGCAGGACAAGAGAATCAGGGAGGGGAGGGGGTCCTGTCCCACTGGGCAGTATAGGAAGCACCTGGTGTCAAGCCTGCGTTATCATATATTATAGACCCTGAACCTCTGCCTTGGAGTCAGGGATGGCAGGATATTTTCTGCAGGACTCACATCATGGGGACAGGGAATAAACCACCCCAGGGGTCATCACTGCAGAACTGACTGTAGGCAGGCAGAGGCTGCACCATCCTCTGTCATCAACCAGCTACAACTGGAGACAAGAGCATGAGCTGAGTGCCTACCTGCTCTGAGGCAGTATGATAGATCCTCTGGGTCACGGGCACCCAGCTGCTGAGGGGCAGCTGCCCCATTCTAGCTGCTGGGACTGCCCTTGTCCCTCTTATGGACACAGGGTCGAGGGATTAAGAGTGAGCTCAGCCTGCATCCTCCAAGCCTGTGGCACTCATTGAATATGTTGCATGCTTAGCTGATTCCTGAAATCCTCAATTGTTTCTGTATTCCCCCAGGGGCAGTTCAAAGAGGTGGATCACAGTTATGTGCATGGAAGAGTCTCTCCCCAATACAGAGATGCCTACCATTCCCTGGAGCCCTTCTACTCAGAGAGCAAGAGTTTCCTGAAGATCCACGCACAGGGAGAGGTGCTTCCCTGTGATCAGACCCAACAGCTTCAAGTGGAGTACATCATTGCCAGGAAGGCCCTGGGGGCTGAGACCAAGAGCCTGGATTTCTACTTCCTGGTGAGCCCCATCCTGGGCTTGTCTCATGCTTTTCCTTACTGCAGCACGGATTCCCAAGCCCCTTTTCATCAGCCAGTGAGACCTGGAGCCTGACGCCCTCAGTGCTTGGCAATTTGATAGGCTTACTACGAAGCATAATGGCAGTGTTCTCACTATAGAGCAAAGCTGCATTTGTTGTACTTGGCTGCATCAGTCTGTGCATTTGCCAACATCCTCATGCTAAAACTACAGGTTGGCATCCTTGGGTTACTTATTGCAGGGCCTTCCTGTGGTCTGTTCCTTGCAAGATCTTTTGCTTAACCTAAACTGCAGATTCTGCTACTCATTTGACAAGACCCTTCTTGTCAACACAGTGGCAGACAGGGATCTTGGAGTCATTGTTGACTCCAGGATGAACAGAGCTGCCAATGCGAGGAAGAGGTCAGTAAGGCTAACTGCACCTTGTCGTGCATTTACAGATGCGTCACAAGCAAGCTCAGGGAGATGATCCTTCCCCCATATGAGGTTTTGCTCAGGCCGCAGTTGGAGTACTGAGTCCAGTTCTGGGCACTGCACTTCAAGAGGGATTTGGCTAGCATTGAGAGGGTCCAGAGGAGGGCCACTCGCATGGTCAGGGGCAGCAGGTCAGGCCCTATGAAGAAAGGCTAAAGGGTCTGAATCTACTCAGCCTCCACAAGAGAAGGCTGAGAGGGGATCTGGTGGCCATTTACAAACTCACCAGGGGGGACCAGCGGGAATTGGGTGAGGCTCTGTTTCACCATGCACCACCGCAGGTTACTAGGAATAACAGCTATAAATTGTTAGCGAGCAGGTTCAGACTGGACATCAGGAGACATTACTTTACAGTTAGGGCTGCCAAGCTCTGGAATGGGCTCCCAAGGGAGGTGGTACTCTGTCCTACCTTGGGGGTCTTCAAGAGGAGGCTGGACAGATATTTGGCTGGGGTGATATAACACTTGTTCCTGCCTGGTAACTGGTATGGGGCCCTTTGCCTTAGCTGCACTCCTGCAGGCTTGACCAACCACTGGGACTGGTTGGGGTGGCAACAGTGGGATTCAGGGCCTTCTTCTGCAATGGGACACCAGTTTCACTCCCGCCCCAACCTGCTGGTGCCCAAATGTCCTCCCCCATCATCTGTGCTTTGCCCAATGGGTAGAGAAACTGCATCCTGCCCTGGATCTGGCCCTCCCCACATCATGCCATTTCTCAGGCCTTCCATGTAGGAGGAGTGACTCCTATCTCCTCCACAGGTTGTGGCCAAGGGAGCCATCATAAGGAGCCTGTGGAAAGGACTAGACTTTGGAGAGGGGGCTGGTAAGTGCTGAGGGATGGGTGCGTGCAGCAAGGCCCCTGCAGCCAAGGGGTGGGGTGGGGGTTGTGGGATTAATAATTTATTTGCAGGAGGGAGCTCTGCAGTCTGTGCCAGGGCCTCACTTCTCCCATGTGTCTCCATTGGCCCAGAGCTGAAGGGCTCCTTCTCCATTGAGCTGCCTGTTGGGGCTGAGCTGGCACCCTCTGCCAAGGTGCTGGGTTATACAGTGCTGCCCAGTGGAGGGATGGCTGGCGATATTGAGCTGCCTGTTGGGGCTGAGCTGGCACCCTCTGCCAAGGTGCTGGGTTATACAGTGCTGCCCAGTGGAGAGATGGCTGCCGATAGCACTGAGCTTCACACGACCAAGTGCTTCCCGAACAAGGTGAGCACAGGGCTTGGGCCAGAGCTGCCTTTGGGGGAAACCAGGGAATTGCCTCCTGCCCTGACTGAGAACCCGGCAGAGGTTTATCACTGGTGCCTCGGCCCCTCTCTGCCCCTGCCTTGTGCCAGCCCAATGCCCCTGCACCTCCCTCTGCTCCTCCTGCACCCCAGAGTGTCTGTCAATAACTGCAGCTTTGTGAGCCATCCTATGATGATGCTAAATGGACCTGAGCAGTCTCATCCCCTTCTTTGCCCCACTACTGTCTCCCAAAGACCCAGTCAATTGGCTAGAGACATCTGGGGTCAAGGAGACTCTCAGTGTCTGCAGATATCACATCTGCCCTCATGGGACTGTCTCCTCATGCATTTGGGTGATGTCTCTCCTCTTGACTCTCACCTGATGCACCTGTCCCCGCGCCCTTCTTCTGCCCTCCCCTCACACCCTGTGGTGTCTGCTGTGGTAGCTTCCTGAAGGAAATGCCAAACGCACATATCTTGTCCTCTCCCCTACCCCAGCACTGATTCCCAAGCCCCCAGCCCACCAGCCAGTGAGATGTGGAGCCTGCGGCCCCGAGTGCCATAAGCTTGCCTCCATGTCTGCCCTTGCCTGGCACTGCCTCCTCCCTCCCTGGGCATGGGCAGGGCATCCTCTGTCCCTCTCAGTCCCCACCTCATACCCTCGTGCCCTCTTCAGGTGAAGCTGGCGTTCTCGCAGGACAGGGCCCTGCCAGGCTCCGAGATCCACCTCCAGGTACAGGCCTCCCCTGGCTCTCTGTGCGCTGTCCGGGCCGTGGATCAGAGTGTGCTGCTCATGAAGCCCGAGGCTGAGCTCAGTGTTGACACGGTAAGTCCAACCCAGCTGGCGAGGAGCACTGTGGCAGAAGGTCTCCTTCTGCTGTACCATGGCAAGCATAGGGAATGGCAGAGCCCAGCACTAATACCTGCCATCCGGAGCATGATGGCTCTGCCCACAGCAGGTTCAGCCTCACGACTCTTGTGAGAAAGGACACAAGACTCAGTGAATAAGGGATAGAGCCACAGTGTTTCCCTGCTGGGGTCCCTGGGGTCAGCCCCTGTGGTAACTGCAAACCATTTCCTGAGAAAGCCTCAGCTGCCTGTATGCATTGCCCATCCGCCTCTACACACCCACTGCTTCCAGCACATTCATAAAGGATAAATCCCAGTCCTCAAATGAGAGCTGGTCGTGTGGGACAGGGAGGACAGGCCGTGAGGATGCCCATGCAGGGAATGGAGCTGGCTGCTAATTTTGGTGCGGATGTGCCTGCAGTCACAGGGGAGGTTTCCCGGGTCTTGTATAGAAAGAAGGGTTGGAGAAGGCTTTGTGTGTGTGCCTTGGGCTTTTGCCTGACTTGGTCTGTGTTTGCTTTTAGGTCTATAACGTGCTTCCACATTTCCCCAAAAGAAGCTATCCCTACAAGGCTCAAGATCTTGACACACGCTGTCCAGGACCATTTTGGGAGCCATACATGATAGATCCCAGAGGTTCAGCTTTTGCCCGCCGTGGCACCCTGGTCAGGGACAAAACTGCTCCCTACACCCCACACAAGTCCCTCAGGCACTCCACCGAATGCCCCTCACTGCTTTCCCTGCATTGCCCCTGCCATCTCTGCCCCTTGTTATCCCACATATCCCCATTCTCAGCCCCACCCCATCCTGCCCCGACCCCATCAGATTCCACCATCCCCCTGACTGTCACAGCCCCCATGAACCTGCTGCACCTTGCAGAGGCTCCTCCCCATCATGTCCCAGGCCCCTGACCCCTCACCATCCCCCTCACACCCTGCTGAGCCCTCCCCTGCCCTTCAGTGCATTCAAACCTCACTGGAACCCTTAGGTTCCCCTTACCCCTTTTAATCCCAACTCTTTTCACACCTCATTTTACCCCCGCAGACCCCACCACCCCCCTCAGGCCCAAACCATCTACCCCTCAAACCACTCCATCCTCATAATGTCCCAGCTCCTCTTCACCCCACGCCCCTGTACCCCATAAGCCCCCTCCTCCCAAAAGCCCCTTGGCACCCACGATCCCCCCCATCCAGTCCCTCATGGCCCCTCAGAGCCCCTTCCCCTCAAAGCCCCTCCTAAGCAGTCTCGCCCCCACCCCGCACCATAGGGTTGGTAACACCTATGGAGGGAAGAGCTTAGCACAAATCAAGTAGATAATAATGTGCCATGAAGTCAATTGATTCTCTTTATTCCACCTGAAAAGAAATGCAGCTGTGCTTGCCTGGTGGTTTGTTTTAAATTCTGAGTGGAGCACAAATTAGACATGGGGATGAAATGGCACCCACAACTTCCGCCTGGATCTCCCCCATTCCTTTTTTAGGGCTTCGCTGACTCCAATATGCTGAAAGCTGCTGGTATCCCAGGGGCAACATCCCACCAACTAGGGGCTGGCCTGCTCTAAAAATCATTTTCGGCGGATGCTCCTAGTGAAATCCCCCTGGGATTCACTGCACCAGCCTTCTGACATACTCAGAGAGGGCTGTAACCAGGGACAGACTCTGTGGGAAACCCACAGAGCATTAACCCTCAAACCTCACCATAGCTCACTCCTGGGCAGACATATAGCAAAGGTTTGTAGCAGTGATTACAATTAAGGTGGCCTGACACTTCCTGTTAGAAGACTTCTCAGTGTCTTATAAAGCTGTCAGACTAAAGCTGGGCTTAGATCTCCTGTGCCAGATTTCTGCCATGGGCTGCATCTCTTTGGAAAGTTTTGGTTGAAACAGTTCAGCATTTTCTCAGAAGATTGGGGGGAAATAAATTGTATGGCCAATGCAAAAATATGTTTCTAGTTGTTTAAGTAATAAGCAGTAGAGCAGACATGTGAAATATGGTGGTGATGTCAGCTGGGAGTCCGTGAGGTGTCCCTTGCACCGCTGGGAAATTCAGCCTAAGTGTGGGTGAATTACAGATCTTGAAAAATCACAGTCTGTTCATACTGTGCAGGGGGTTTTCAGCTGTCCTGTGATCCAGCATGCTCCATACTCCCTCTCCTCTTGCTGTGATTTTTCTCCTAAAATTCTCCAGCTAAGCCCCGGGTTATTCAAGGTAACTACACCTAGTGGTGTGAGGGTAGCTGGACTGCAATTCTAATCAGGACAGCACAACACAGCACAAGGGCACAGTCTCTGAGCGTGTCCACAAAAAAGCAACTTGGAGTGAGTTAACAAGAGATGGCAACTCGTTGCAGAGTAGATATTCACTGTAACTGTTTATGTCCTCTCTCTTTTCCCCAGGTAAGTGAAATCTAAACTACAGTAGCCTGACCCTGCTTCTTGGCCTCCAGGCATGGGACCCAAGCACTGAGCCACACTGCCACTGCTAACACATAGCTGGGAGCAAAAGGGTACAATTATTAGAGGAAAGATCAGCAGATTAACAACCCAATAATGTGATCTGTAAGGCTAGAACCAGCTCCTGGATCTTGCAGACCTCACTTGTGTCTTTCAAAACTAAAAACAAAATGCTGGGCAGAAGCACTGTATGGATCAACCCCAACCAGGAGAACACGATGAAGAGATGACCTGATGGGTCCTTTCTATATCTGTCCTCTGAGGTCCCATCTATAAAATATTGATCTACAATTGCAAAGTCCTACATGTTCCCTGGTAACCAGGATAGGGCTGATCCCCTGCTAACTGTCATGTTATGTTATGGGATCATTTATCATTCCAGGGCGCAGTCACAAAGACCATGCCACTGCAGCTAGTAGTGTTGCTGTGACTGATGCTTTTCCTTCTCTCTTGTTCCAGAATGCAGCTTTGAAAGTTTGCACGAACGCCAACATCAGGATGCCCTGCTTGACTGAAGAACTTATGCCTATCTCTTTCTCCCGCACAGCCCCGAAACGTCTCCAATTCCGTAAAGGTCAGTGGGGACAGGAGCTAGGCTCTGCCTTTTTCTCTCCTTTTAAATGCACCCTCTGGCCCCTGAAGGACATAAGACAAAGGCTCCTGGATCAGGCCCAGAACCTGGGCTGTTATCCTGGTCCTGATGCTGCCTGTGCAGGTTTCTCCATTATTCTCATAACAGCAAGGGGTTAGTGCTTTGAGGGCACCAAGGGAGCAAAAATCTGCAGTGGCTGAGGGGTACACACATGGTACACATGAAACAGCCAATCACAGTTAGAGTATGAGAAAGCCAGAGCTCTTCCTGTTCCCCTTCCATTTGTAGAAGAAAAGTCTTCCG